ATTACAGCAATATCTTAAGAGATAATTATGTCTGCAGTAGCAGAGGCCTGAATGAGGCTGCAGAAATAGCTGGCAGAATTAATTAAACTCGTAACTATCGTGAAGTTTCGTATAGGGCTGATTACAAGCGCATAATAATTTTTTTATAGAGTTCTTGTGAGGTAATTTATGAGTATTTATTGTCTAGTTAATGACGGCAAAGTGGAGTTAATTGAGTGATATGTTAGTTGTAGAGATTTTTATTTCCTATGAGAGTTCATGGAGAGGAGATTTGATGGTCGATCTCACCAGAAGAGGACGGCTGATTCACATTGTACCGCAACCGTTTGGCTTAAATACGACGTTTAGGTTGGCGCAGTCCACAAAGCATTATCTCTTGTTTGGGTAAAAACGGACTGAGCTTTCGTTCATCATATGATGGATATCATCAGAGCTGGAACTGATTCTTGTTAAAGCCTAATATTACTACTAGGTCAAGAAGTGAGATCAACCTTCCAGTCTCTTCTTCATCCACTTTCATATGAAATGAAAACCTCTCCCACAATGTTATCTCAGAATGTTCATCCAGACCCCGTTACTCTTCGTATTTATGAAATCTTTACCTTTACCAAGATAATTTTGATGGATAAGGTGGTGCCTCAGAAACAGACTTCATAACTCATCATTTCTTATTATAGATGTAGCGATTCAGTTCTTATTCAAGATTTCGAAGTTTATTATTTCACATGTTTATCTACTTAAATTAACAATATTAGTAGTACACTCAAGCACTATAACTGAATTATAAAGTTCATATTATTCATTTTTCCTCATTCCTTAAAAAAGTAAGCATTGTACCTTGATAGGCTGGTTCTGTCTGTGGCCAGTTCTCAAATAAAATTACGACATTATGGGAACACAAGTGTATTTCATAGCAGCCCCATACAACTGCATCTATTTTCTTATCCTGCTAGACAACACTGGGTTAGCTGCTTCAGTGTTTATTAAAATAACTTCAACCTAAACGTGGCCAGATCCAGGAAGCAATCATCCTTTGCCTCAGGTTTAAAGGTGGCGCAAGGAGGCGTCCATGTACCTACGGATTTCGTTCGAATGTTTTTACACACAAGCTTTGACTATTACTGTTGCTCCACCGGCCCTGAAACAGCCAGAAAGAAGCACCGCATTAGTGAGTCAGCTCGTCTAGTCGAAAGCCTCCAGGGCGCTAGCAACAGGCATACATAAGTCGAGAAAAAAGCACAAGCACATGGACAATAAATAAGCAAATTAAAAAATCACCTGAATACCTCGGTCCATTGTAATGCTTCAGCCTTCTTGGCAGGGCAGTATCTGGCCGCCCCTGTCTCATCCTAACTGGGGGAAAATGCAAGTGTTCGACTGTCATGGTCGCGTATGCTTTTGTGTGTACTTGTGATTTGGCCTAGCTACTGGTGCTCAGTCGCGTCCGATTTCCTGTAGGAGAAGACGAGGGGTCCCGAATGCTTTTGGCATTCAGAAAAACAAGCCCTTTACTCAGGCATGCACAAAGTTTCCGCGCACAACTATGCCGTCATGATAAAATGAAACGATTATTTTATTCTCGCATAAATGGAATATGTGATATTACTAATGGGATATTTACGCAAAACAGTATCAAGTGTCGAAAGGATGTAAGACGATTTCATAATCATTAAGTGTAATCGATGTCGATGAAGAACTGTGAAGAGGCTAAGAAGGATGGGTGATATCAAAGTGACTGATACAGAATAGAAGTTCCTCTTAGTCCCATTAAAAGCATTGCTGAGCTCACTTCTATTTCAAGTTGAAGTATGATAGGAAGAGATTCATTGGTCGATCGCACCATAAGACGACGACAGATTCCTCGTGGCCAGCTTTTGTTTGGCTTTACTGTGACCTTATGGTGGGCGCTGCCCTCGTCAAAACATCATTTGTTTCAATTAAAAATGTTCTACCCTACGACAGACATCATCAGAGCAGGGCACCATTCTTGCAGCTAAGTTAAGCTGACGAGTCAATGAAAACATGAACTAACAAAAGCGTCCTGTACCTAATAAAAAGTGTGCTGGATTTGAGTACACATGCCACATCTAAGGACGAACCAGAGAGTTTTCTTTTCTGGTTATTTTAGATGAGTAGTAAGAATGGTAGCCTGGTCTGATAATAACTTTCTTCTGACAGATTAAATCTGTCCATTTTTTTACCGGATTGATACCATTCTAGTTAGAATATTATCTTTTGTTTTTTATTAAACAACTTAGTGTATGGTGATGAAGCTTGTGCCTTTGGTTGCCAAGGCGGTCGATTGTGTTTCCCATAGCTCTAATATCAAGTCTTACATCACCTTTGCCAACCTATGACGATTTCAGTTCTCATACACATTGAAATTTATAACTAGCTCGAATATAAAAGGATTTGTTTGGAGTCTTAAAGATGAGTTTAGTTCACCCAAAGGTGAGTTATCGTTTTGGAAATATTTTCATGTTCTCAAATTCAATATATATTTGGGGGGCTTACTGGGTGTATAATATGAGCTATTTTTTTATGGCAATTCGATCACTTGATGTATCGATTCAGAATTTGTGATTAATGTTAGAGTAAATCTCTATTATTTATACTTTACCCTGTTATTATTCCGCTTATTAGCATTAATGAGGCAAAAGGTCAAATATTGTATTCTCCCCCCTGATTATTCACTTATTTGAGTATTCAGTTTATAAAGAGCCTATTTTTTTAATTTTCTTGACTAAGAAATAAGTGTTGTTAGTTGAGTTTTCCCACAATGAGATGAGTATGGCCCTGGAGATCATTGAATCTAACTTAGCCCTGCATTCCAGAATGCTGCTTAATCCGAACTGGAGTGGATGACAGTTTCGACCTAGCAACCTGTGTGTGTTACTAGGGCGACCTAAGCGAGGCTGAAACTGTGGTCCAGTCCAGCAGTCTTTTGGGAAGCAAAGCTATGGGAAATTTAATGAAAGCCTGGGGATTATTCATTTCGTCGTGACAAAATGCAACTATCAGTTCTTCTTCACATCTGGCGAAATAGGGTAAATACAACACCTATACAAGATGTACTGGTATTTTCAAAAACCTACTCTTAAATAAAATTGTCTTATAAATTGTTCATGAGATTATGCTTTTCATTTATGAAATGTGAAAACATTCATTGAAAACATTTCGACTTTTGCTGAAATTGGTTTATTTAACTGTGTGAAAAATAGTGAAACGAAGTAAATTATATCATACTTAATAGAGTGCATTTTTTGATGTTAATTTTTTCTCATTTTCGTTCATGGGCCGCACCTGGATATGAGAATCCTCCTTCTCGTGATTCAACTCCGTGGTCCATTTGAATTGCATAACATGCCTGTTGTTGACACGGAAACAGACACCCATACTTTGTATCATTATCATTAATTGACAAAGTAGTTGACTTGCCTATTGTGTCCAGAATATCATGATAGCCTCCTGGCTTTTAGATGCAGGTGCTATAGTTCCCTTGTTTGAATCCCTCTAGCGTGACCTTTCGTAGGATAAATTAAAGCTAAACTAGCCGGGATTTTGCACACAGAAGGCCAAACTTAAACTTGAAGATGGCAAGTCAGACTATACATTTTTTGGCTCTTCGTGGCTGTACAATGAGCTGAAAAAAAGTTCTCAAATGTAGCTTTACCCCATTTTGTTCTTCTTTACAAAGTTATCGGCTGGAAATCTGATTGCCTTTTATTAGGGATCAAATTAATCGGCAAGATCTAGTGTCCCCCTGAATGGATGGATTGTCTTAAAGTTTTTTTAAAATTAGAAACAACCAATGGTCTCACTTCCCTCTCGACTGGTGTAGATTTATTTGAACAGTGCAGTCGTGCCAAATATGCATCAAACAAGAAAGGAACTGAAGTGCATTCTCTCATGCCGATCTGCTGACAAGCCATAATGCAGATGTCTGCAGGCTGAATATGGAACAGAGCACGCGGAAGCAAAGTGGCCGGGGCAACAGCAGCCGGCCCATGTGCACTCGTCAGATGTATCGCCTGAAGGTGAAGACCACGAGCCAATCAAGCTGTTGGGGCTATTTCTTTAGTTCACAACCGGCTCACTTCTCTTCCTCCGGTCCTCTTCAGTCTCCCTTTTAGCCCTTATTTTGCGTATAAAGTCAAGCCGCCTCCAGTGTCTTCGACATGCCCTTTTGCACAATTAATTGCATTCGGCTAATTCGCATTTTCTACTTCCTCGCTTCATCATTGTGTTACCCTATTTTATGCGCCATATTTCGCATTTATCACCTTTCCTTCTTGCCCCCCAGCATTCCGCATTCGAGATCTGCATTTTGGCGCAATCACTTTTGCGACGAACGACCTCGTAGTTACAACATCTTGGCGTCGGTTTCGACTTTACATAAAACTTTTTCAAAATTAGATTAGAACTACTCGTCGGAAGGATTAATTAAGAAACCTGCCTTTTTGGTTTAATCCCATTCCTGTATACATCTCGTCGAGACCGAGCCATTTTTCTTTGTCAGGCATTGATTCGTAGTGGCATTTCAGTTTTGCTATGCTACCGAGAGAGAGACTAGAATATTGTTAAGCATAAGGATGCTTCGTTTGAACAATAAAAAATTTCATCTAGCCACTAGAGCCCTCGTACATGTTCCTGTGTATATCTGTACCACATTAAATCCATATCGGGGGGAAATAGTTAGGGTGATGATACAGATCGCCTCCTAATTATGCCGGATGGCTGATTTTTATTGGAAATGCCTCCGGCTGTGGTCTATTGCATAATAGGACTGGCTACAAAAGGTCATTCATGATGAAGGCAACAAAAGCGCTGATGTGGCTTTTTGACCTATTCGGTATCCAAGTCATTTGGGCGGGGAAGGCAGAAGTTGGCAGACTGTATGTGTGTGGATTGGGCGAAGGCAAGAAAAAGCGGAGCTAGCTTTGGGAAAAGGAAATCAAACGGACCAAAAGGTGGCGATTACGCCGGCACATTTTGCCAATTTACTCCTCATCAACTGCTGCAACCTCGGCAGTCATCGGTAGATGGCTCAGAGTCACGCGCCGAGTGTTGGAGACCTGAGGTCTGTCTCGAGGCTGGAGGGGAGTAGGTCGGCCGCATAAATTAGCCACAATACGGCCCTCATGCCTGGCCCGTTGTCCAATCATACAGCTACACACCTTCGACCTCCTCTTTCCCATGCTTCCTATGCCTCCGGTCTTGCCCAACCCACCAGACCGGCAGGTGCGCCAATACCTCGGCTGTCGGCCTGCGCCAAATCCACAAGAGAACCCCGGGGCGGAGCGAAAACTGGGACGCCTGTAGACGGGAAATGACTCGAGGATAGGGCCGATTCTACCTGTTTCCTCTTTTTCTGGCACACCGAGTGCAGGTCAAAGTGGAAGAATAATGTGATGCAGTGTTGGTTGAAATACCGGCTTCACCAGCAGAAGCATCAACAACCTGCCGACATGTACCTCAACTGGCTGGCCCGGCCAACCCAGGAGACTCGGTTGCCATAAGTTGACATTTGCTGACCGAAACCCAACAGACAATACGAACAGTAATCCGGCTAGGCTGATCGAGATGTGACAACACGAAAGACTCACCGAATATTCTGGAATATCTTCAATATAATCACCTCTTTGACTGTATCAACCGACTGAGCGACTACTCAAATAAGGGAAAAGTCTACCAGATTGGAGGCCTACTGATAGTGGACCAAATTTGGACTCAACGAAAAAGCGGGTCTTGGACGATCAGAAAGTCAACCTGAAAGGCATTTTATATTGTTTTAGACTCGTAAGTATGTTTTTGAGACTACCAACGGATCTGATATAAGAGTTACATTCACTCTATTTCGTTTAAGGTGATAAAGGACTGGTAGTTGAATTTTTCTATAATCATATGAGTCGGTCTTACATTGTCATTTACTTTCACATAGCCTTGTTTCTCAAAAAATATTCTCATTCGGGCTAGGCTTTCGTTTTAGCTTGACCTAAGTCTCATCAGCACCTCCAGCGGGACTCGATTTCGGATTATCGTTGCGTATAATCTCTACAAGTTGACCACCACGCCGTACTGCCACGACTGCCCTTGGGTCCCAGGTCACATGTGAAATTCAAGGAATACTAGGCATTTTCCCATATCACATTGTGTGGTGGGATTTTTGATTAAGCAACGTTGTATTGACTATAGCAATAGGCTATATTACTTGCTTTTCCTATAATAGGTAAGCATACAGCATTGCTTCATCGACAATCGCGCTACAGAATGTGATATGGAAAAAGGCCTAGCTTTACTTGAAATTCATATGAGCCCTGTGACCAAGAGGCACTCATGACAGTGTGTGGCGTAGTGGTTAACGTGTCGGAACTATACGCTGTTATGTCACAACCCGAGCTCGAGTCCCGCTGGGCTGCTGATAAGACCTTGGCGAGGTCGAAACTGTAGTTCACTCTGGATGGGAATAACTTTTGGCAAGAAAGGCTATGCGAACTTCAGTTGAAGCGTAAGATCTACTCAAATCATTGTGGGAAAATTCAACCAGCATTTATTCATTATCTTAAACGAAATCCTACTTCTCCTTCTTCCGTAATGCCGAGATGTGATTCAGCTTGTGCCAACTATACCAGGAATGATGTTCAACTGTAAATACCTATCTTACAGATTCTGGCCTATCCTTCATGCCGTTGGTCAATTCGGTGATAAAACAGAGTTTGTGTGACAAAGACCTTGGCTCGCATTCACCTGAGCCCTTATTCGTCCTGTAGTGATAGAAAACATAATTTACCGAAATTGGCAAAAACACCAGCTTTCGTTTGGCCCCATTTGCACCTCTGGTTGAGACTGTCTATTTCGGTG